AATTGAGTATCAAATCTCCTCTATTGAGTATTAGAATTATGCGGTTGAGCATCATGGTATGTGCTCTCATGTCTATAATCAAGTCTTATGTAAAAATATAATGAGTAGAAGACGGGTACCAAATCAGCATAGATAATTTACAAAATGAGTATCAAAAAATTCAATTGTTCAGTTGTGTATGCTCATTCATTTTGGGTCTTATACTCATTCGAGTTTAACATATTGTAATATAATACGCAGTAAGTTTGAAATGTGAAACATTTTAAAATGAGCATTGCACTAATATTAAATGAGTATACATTACTTATGAAATGAGCAACCAAAAATTCAAAAAGCTCATTTAAAATCTATGATACGCTCTCATTTGTGCACCTCATTTGAATTGTCTAGTATGCTCAAATCTGTATTTGTGTATGCTCATTTAATTTTTTTTAACTTGCTCAAATATTGAATTATGTATGTTCAATATTGTATGTTCAAAACTTTTAACCGTTATACACATTTGTTATAAACACTATACTCATTTTCAATATAACATAAAATTTAAGTTAGTAAATAATAAGTAGAAAATATTAATATGTGCGAGTACATTATTAAAATATAATATTAAAATACAATATTAAATTAGAAGTTGTAATTTGTCTTTGGGGGATTCCATAACTAAATACGGAGCAGAATTCAAGATTTTGCTTATAGAGCAGCTTTGGGCTTTGGCAACTCACAGAACTGTAGCGGAAGTTCTTTGCGTTTTTCCTTCTGCGGAACTTGGCAGGTGGTCGGCGCATCGATCGGAACTTTGCGGAGAGTAGCGAGCGAGCAGTATCCAAGACCAAGCGAGGAGCATCGATCGGCTCTTCCACCTCCCAGGACATCAACGCGCAGCACAAAAGAGAAGACCTTGAAATTATAATTAATTGAAAAATACCCGGTTGTACGGTGAGCACCGTACAACCGGGTGTACGGTATAATTTACCTTACTCATGATGATTTCACTTCACCCACGCCCCACCCGTCCACCCATACCAACCTTAGGTTCCTCGCCTCCCATATTTTTCAATTTATTGTTACATTTGAAACTTTTTGTGGACAACGCCTTTCGTGGCAAATAGCTTTCTAATTTACGAAATTTTACAAATTCTTTTTCTTGTTTATAAAAGAAAAGTTAGAGTCGTAAAGTGAATTTTTATTGGGCCATTCAATTTTTACAATTCAATTCGTCAAGAAAGGAGAATATTTTACTCCCTAATTTTTCGAAGTTAAGTTGAAAAACATGAGCTTGAGCTACCTGCAACCAACAATGGCAAATCATTTAATTGTTCATACGAACATCCAAAACTTAAAAAATGAATTAATATGCTTACAAAATTAGGGTAAATATAATTTATTTATATGATACGGAGTACGTTACATACTTCTTAAATGTTGCTCTATTTATTTACTATTATTACTCAATACTATAAATTTACACGTGCATATTTTTGAATAAATAAATAAATAAATAAATATTAAAATAAAGTTTACCCTTTTAGTTCTGTTTTATGCAAATTACTTGAATAGTGAGTTGTGTTGATTTAGATCAAGTTTTAAGTAAGTTTTAGAAAAGAAATATTACATTACTTAATGAGTATAAGTATTTAGATTTAGTTTTATTTTTATATTATGTGGGGCCTCGATCTTTTATTAGGAGTTGAGACCTCCAAATTTATTATACTGTCTTGTTATATGCCTTTTTTAGTCTTTATTTTCTGGAAAGGGTAGCAGGAATATTCATGATTTAGTATAGTACGTGATTGGCACGGTACGGCAATATCATCTAGAAGGTATTTCTAGTATTTATCTAGAATTGTACACTAGTTAAATGATATCTATAGATAATACATTTGAAGGTTACAATTAAGAAAAGTTTTGCCACATGTCAATTCCACAATTATTGTTTTAAATAATTACTTTCCAAAGTAAGAAGTTTATTCCCAAATAATACTCCGTATTAATACTCGGTATTACTCATGATAACGGTTCTCTTAATTGAATTGGTGACGTATACGAATCTAATAATTCATAAAATCCTATGTTTTCTTAAAGTAGTATAACTTTTATATTTGAACTCCAATTGTTATAAAAAATATATCAAAATTTATAACTTTTTTATCTTTCAAATGACACGAATATTGAATATACAAAAATAAAAAATAGTTTAACACTTTAAAAACGTCTATTTTTTTAAATATTATAACTTTAAGAATGATCCTCTACAGTGTTAAAAATGTAATATTTTTAATATTTGATGATTAAATTATCTTAAAAAAGTTCTAATTATTTTCTAAATTAAAAATGACAACTTTTCTATGACAACCAAAAAAGAAAAGTGAGAACTTTTAGTTGAATAGAGAGAACAGTAGCTTTGATAAGCTTTCAAAGCGGTCCAGTCCAGTTGGTCGCAGACTCTTTCTCCCTTACTGGAGGTCTCGGGTTCGAAACTCAATAGACTGAATTTCAGTCCTCATTTACTCCAGGCCCCCCGGCCCCCCTCCTACAAATGCCCCCTGGAGTAAAATAAAAACTTAAGTGCATTCAATAGCCAATTTTGATTGGTGTAATGACACTCCGTCGTCTAAAAATGAAGATGTTCGGAATTTGGTAAAGGTTGGTGTAATATACAGAGTACTATTTTAAGCAAGTAATTTTTCAATGTCCCAAAACAATTGTTAGTTTCATTTTAATCAATTACACAGTTTTTACATAATTCTAAGGGATACCGGCACCCTTGCCGGCAGAACTCCTATGGTTACAACAACGAACAGACCAGGGGGAGAGCCGCGGATTTCTGAAGATTCGTCAACCATCCTTATCGGATTAGTTGTTGTTCACTTCTCAGGGAGCAATCCACAGCAACACAAATCGGCCACCTGTGCGAATCCGGAGGAGTCTACTGACCGACAACATCTGACTGACAATGGCCACCCATTGCGGCGGACGAAGGCGACTAAGACTGCTATCAGAAGGGATGTGCCTTACCTGAGACGACGGGGCCATACAATTGGCGCTCGTGGGGATTCGGCTTTGGATCCCTCTTCCCCTTCTCAGACGGACCTTCAGCAGCGGACTGCACACAGAAGGGGATTGCCTCCTTGGCGACAACAGCAGAACATAGTCGGAGTTGGTAAGCTTACGCGCAGACCTGCGACCGGCCAAAATCCTGAATAGAATATTGGCGGGTCTGCATCCAGACGGCGTGGTGACCTAGTCGGCGAGGTCCAGTCTGCATCAAGGGGCTCTCTCCGCCGACTGCAGCAAAGGGCTGTCCACTCCCGTCAATACTATCCCAAAGCCAAGTTTCAAAATTTCTCCCGGAGACAATTCGAACAGGTCATGGCTATTCCTGAAGGCTTTGAAACTTTAATTGAAAGTAAAATCTTTCAATTCAAAATTACTAATCGGAATGCTATTCATATATCTGAAATGAAGTTTGTGGTTTTATCTACTATTGATCTTGACTTGAAAAGAGTCTCTTGGCTGAAAGAATCCATTACAAAACTTTATTCTGATACTTGGTCATCTCCTAAACTTGAGCTGAAGGATCTTTTATTACTTTATGATTCAAATGTTTATGGAGGTTTTATTCGCATCATTGAGAAGGGACATGATTCTCTATTTATACCTGAAGGATGGAATGGATTGGGTATTAAGCGTTTTCTAATAGGTATTACGAGATCCATTAATTTGATGAAAGAATTGGCAGTGCGAATGACAACCTCGAATTCTTCAGGCTTTGTTGACACCAAACCTGCCATGGATCTTTTTACTCCTTGGTTGGATAGGGATCTCTCTTATGAGAATGTTTCATCTATTTCGGGATCGTTGTTTCAAGTTGATATTGAACGTTCTGTCTGTTTTGATAAATCTCTGGTGTTGGATTCTAGTGAGGATCTGTGTACTTCTCAGCTAATATAAAAAATTGACTCCCTTTTGGATTCCATTCAGACTTGTATGACTAATGGGGTGAATTCACTTTCTCAATTTTTAATCAAAGAATTTGATAGAATGCTTTTGGTAAATCGAGAGTCTTTTTCTACTGGAAAAAATGAGAAAGATATCAATGCAAACCCAGAGGTCAATTTTTCAAGGGATGTTTTCCAGGGTAATCAGTGCTCAATAGGGCTTGATTGTGAAGACGTGTTTCCTGAGAAGATATTATCATATTCGGGAGATGAATTTCTTGGTCATGCTTCAGAAAGCGAGAAGAGAACTCCCAATTCATCGATTGAGGATTTATGGGACTCAGACACCAATAAGGACGTTTGTCATAAGGCTGACCTAGTCACAAAGGAAAACTGTTTGCCTACACAGAACCTCAACACTCAAATGAAAATTTACAGGAAAAAGCACCAGCGATCTCACCATATGAGGACAAGATCCCAAGCTCGCGTGGACGAACGGGCTTATGAGTCTTGAGGGAACCTACTATTTGATGGGGCTATTTTATAGGGTGTCTTATAATTTAATACTTTTTGCAGGGCATCTGTATTCATTTTTGTTTATGTTTCTTTTTTCATCTTTTCTTTGTACTCTGTTTTTCTCATTAACAAAAATTTCCTTTTGCAAAAAAATAAAACATAATTCTTCTCCATTCCGGTCAAATTGGAAAAACTTTAATGGACAGAGAGAGTACTTTTGAAAGACTCCGAATCTATTATATATGTACATTAACTTTGGTTGTTATTTTAGCGCAAATAACTTTCGAGCACCGTTTAGAGATACCCCTTATTTTTCTCTAACTATCTCGACAATAGGACTTTTCGAGACCATTGGCTTGGTGGAAAATCCCAACTTTATCCCTTTAGGGGTACTAGTAAACTCACCCGTGCGATGCACGGTTTGAGTATTTTTCTTTCAAATTTATGTGTGCTTAGTAATTCAAATCACACTATCAATTGATGACATTATCTATCTTCATGTAATACTGATATAAATCAAGCATTAAACGAAACACACTTATAATATTATGGTCAAAATGAGAGTACTAAGCATTATTTAAAAGATCAAAAACATCCAACAAATACGTTGAAATCATAACATTGTAAATATGCATTTAATGTAAACTTAAACATTGTTGAACACTTCTTTGAATACAACATTCCGAGTTTTGTTAGTGGTTCCTCCATCTTCATCAACAATTAGAATTTTCAAACCACAATTATTGGTAACCCTTGATACTGCAACATACAACTGTCTGTGGGTAAATGCCGATTTTTTCAACAACAACCCAACACAGGACAAAGATTGACCTTGACTTTTATTTATTGTCATAGCATACGAAGTCATAACAGGATGTTGTCGCCTATGAAATTTGAAAGGCAAGCTGGCATCGGATGACGTCAAGGACAATCTAAGAATTAATACTTTTTGTCCAGCACTCATACCAGTGAATCCAAAGGCTGATCATCGCGAAAGATAACACTTTGTTCTTCCGGAAAATGGAAGCTCATACGTTCAACTGCCGGGGTCTTATATTGAATTTCAAACCCAAATATGCGCCAAGTAGCCTCGCACGCAGAAATGTATCTACAGTCATAGTACATTTGTATCTCATTGACTGATCGTGCATCGCACGGTTGGTGATTTCTTTCCTAAAAAATGTACATAACTACACAATACATGTACTATTGAAAGAGTCCCACCTTAGAGGAAATGCGTTGAACGCTCATGCGATGCGCAGTTGGTTAAATTCCACATGTGTAGTTAGTTTTAATCAAATTTATTTTGAAATAAAACTAAACTTGTAATTTTAATTGAACATGACTAAAAAAGTTATACTATATATACTATATAAAGTTTTTTATAGCATGTATCACGCCCTATAATGTTGATTGGTTATCATTAACCCAACCACACAAAGTTGAATATGACTAAAAAGGGCATCTTCAACAACAAAACCAATGCGCCACAATGAGTGCTAAAATTTGAAGTTGTTAATAGGAATGCTTAGGAATCAACACATTTTAGCTCGTACTAACTTATGTCAAAATCATTTCTTTTAGTAAAATGTTTTGTTAGTAATTCACCTTGAAGGTAAATGTTATGTCAAATGATTTTGCCAATTTTTTTTTGGAAAAATTGAAAATAATAATCCCAACTATTGCTGGTCCGCTGAAAATAATCCCAACTATTGATTATTTTTGTATAATCCCAACTATATAGACTATCCGCCAATAATGGTCCATGACCATATATTACCTCTATAAAAAGTGAATTTTAAATAGAAATTAAGCGTAAAAAATAAAAGTTGAGATTATTTATAGGGATTACTTTTTATATCTTATCTCATCCACTTAAGAAACTACAAGAATTTATTCATAGGGACCATTATTGGCGGAAGGTCCCTAAAGTTGGGATTATTCTGTAATAATCAATAGTTGGGATTATTATGAGCGGACCACCAATAGTTGGGATTATTACTATCAATTTTTCCTTTTTTTTTTCATTTTCAAAGGTTTATAAAAAATAATTGAAGGTAAATTATTTATAATGACTAAGTAATACCGTGACTAAATTTACACGAATTGCATTTTTTATTCAAAAAAAGTAATAAGGTGACTAAATTTACACAATTTGCATTTTTAGACGAATTGTCTCTTTAAATAGGTAAAATAAGGGAGTAAAATATGTGAAAGTGTGTTATGTCATTCTTGAATTATACTTGAATCTAAATTTGTGCGAAAATGTTCAAATATGTGCTTCTACTATTTCTAATATCCAAATATGGTCTGGTTTGGTTTGTTTACGTTTGATTTGGTCTGAGACTAAAATAAGTCTAAGTATAAATATCCTAAGTAATATGGTAACTATGCATTTATACGAATTGCATTGTTTACACGAATTGCCCTGGTAAATTAGCAATTCAGGGGGGGTGCAAATATGTGAAAGTGCGTTATGACATTAGTAAACAATACTCAAATACTCAAATATGAATTTGTGAGAAAAATGTTAGTTGAGTCAGCATATGAAAAGTAATGCTATCATTTAAGCACAATAACTTTCGAAACACATTCAATAGGTAGATTCTATCCAAAGACATTCAATAGTATGGTACCCACGCGATGCATGGGGCATGGACATGAATTTATTCATAAGTTATTTAATTTTTATTTGACACTAATAATGTGTGATACATAAAAATAATATGTAAAAAGAAATTGTAATATATAAATATTAGAGTGAGATACAATGTAATAATCACAGATGATGGAACATTTATTCGTTTTTTGTACACTAAAACATTTCTTCGTTTTTAATGAGAAATTTCAGACCTGCACGATTTTTCACTCTGGAATGGGCGACATACAATCGTCTAAGACTTGATTATGTTTTTTTAATAAAAGACCAATGCTAGACCGCCTAGACACCGATTGTCACTAACTTTTATTAACATTCATCACTTAAGAAGTCATTATAGGGAACTGCCTCTTTTCCCAATCTAAGCGAAAGCCCAACATCACCTTCTAAGATGTGATCAAATATCATAGTTATGATGAGCCTCACTCATTTCAATCAAACACGTAACTTTTGGTAACCATGTTTTTTGGTTTATCAGACTTATCAATAACTTTTTCATCAAACACGTAACTTTTGACTTTGTGCGTTGAGTTGTGTAATAATAAGAAAAAGTAAGGTTGAATTTACTTTTTCTGACTCTAATAACTCAAGTTACTGTAGAGAATCATTTTTATTAACTATTCAAGAAAGAAAATTTTCTTTTCTTTTATTAATAAAGATATTATAATTATAATTTCTTCATAAATCAGCAGAATCAGTGTTCAGCCACTTCAGCCAGAACTTAATAAATTTCAGTAGAATCAACCGATTGAGCCAATTTGAGTGTTAACAAATGGGCTCTAAATCAAATACAACAAATTAGGTTTTATCAAAATGACTCTTACAATGAGAAAAATTACTTATAAGACTTTATGTAATTGATCACCTAATTTAAAATTTGGAAATACTTAATTTTGATTTTGATTTTTATTTATTTATAACATAACCAAATTATCAATTCATTAAAGGGAAAATGGAAATTAATAATCCAACCTTTTAGCGGTCTTCTTTTAATAGTCCGACCTTTTCGTTATTCATGAATAATCCAACCTTTGCACCTCATCTTCATTCACTGGTCCCCGACCGGTTGACGATCTGCTATTCCGAGTTATTTTTTTATCTCTGCAAACTATTATACCATAAATTTCACCTTTCACAAAGATAACTATATTACAGCAAAAGGACAGACTCTGTGTATTCAGAACTTCTACTCTCTTCACTCGAAGTTCACCTTTGCTATGAGGACATCCAGTATGACGATGAGTTTCCAATCCGAAATGCTTATTCCCAGACGAATCCAATGAGCTAATGATAAAGCGTCTAGAGTGACTTGTACTTCTCAGCTACAACGCTTAGACGGACACAATTTCGGACCTTTGTATTGTGGAGATATATGTACATATCTTTATTGAATCTTTGTTGCCCGATTCTTCGAAGGCGGGTCAACCTCAGGAATCGCGACCGAATAAGGGGATGTCCTTTCTATTCGAATAAAACTGAGCCAAGTATGAAGGTAAGCAAGTGGATTGCTTGGGAATTTCCTTCCATTGGCTGCATTGAAATAGGTGTTCAGTTCGCAAGCTTCACCCAAACGATTTCACTCAAAGCATCTTCTGAATATGCTTATGTGTGGGATGTTATTCTATATCTTGATTCGGAAAGATCACTTTCAGAACGGATGCATCTAAATCTCTCGCTTGCCCACTTGATCTTTTTGTGGCTTTGCCGAAGTTATTGCACATAAGAAAAAAATAGTGGACCCCCTCCAGGAGCTAAACGGGAAGCGATTTCTTATCATTTCAGATGCGCCTGGGCTCTCAGTGTTTTTATGGGGGGGGGACGTTTACCTCTTTCTCATTGTAATGGGAAACAATTGGGGATGAACAATGTCCCCCGGGAGTTGAGACAATTAAATTTTACTAAAATAGTTTCTTTTTTAAAAGAAGGCGAATCTATTTTCTATTTTGGAATGCAACGAACAATCTATCTAGTTACTTCGTCCAAGCTTTCTTAGTTACCTTTGTACTGGATCAGACGAACCAGCCATGGCCTTAAACTTTCTCTTCTCTCCAGAACTCGCGCGATCCATGAGAAATGCTTGTTGCGTTTTTAAACAAGGAGAATTCGGCTCTATTTAATGAAATGGAGCGGTTTTTGAAATCAAACGAAAACGGTAAACCAGAAATGAATTAACAAATATGAAGCAAGACCTGCCTATCTATTCAATTTGATTAGTAAAGGGCTTTTCCCTGACTAGTAAAGTGGTAAGGTAGGGCGCTATTCGATGAAGAAAATAGACTTTAGGTTAAAATAGAAGACAGACTTTGAGTAAACCAAAAACACCATCCTTTAAAGAAAGCGTAATAGCTCACTGGTCTAGCTCCATGGCACCGAAAATATATCAGGGCTCAAGTGATTCACCGAAGCGACGAGACCTTGAAAGCTGCTTTTTCAAGATGCCCCGAGGTCCCTTTATTCATTTTACTCTGATAGATGGTTTGAGTTTAGATAGACCTAACTTGGAAAAGCCGATCTCTCTAGCCTGGCTACCTTTCAAGTCGAGGATGAAGTTCCAGAGGCACCTCACCAAGCCTTCATGCTATATACTGGGTAGCCAAGTGCGGAGCGGATAACTGCTGAAAGCATAGAGCTTGGGAAGCTCGGATCCGTTCAAGATTCGAACAACAAGGAGCACTCAACTACGGGTAGACCCTGGCGAGCACCCACCTCGTGCCTAACTAACATATTAAGCATTTTCTAGGTTCGGGGAAAAAAAAGAGAAAGATAGATCGAGCCAGTAGTAGTTTATTCTCTTAGAATCCGTCTTTCTTGGTTGGAAAAAGCCAACCGGCAATTCAAACTCTCTTCTTTTTTTGGGACATAAAATTATGGAATTCCGCTTTGAGATTGCTTCTGCAATTGTTTCGTCACGATAAGCAACGAACACTGGTAGCAAGCTCAACTTCTACCTGAAACTGTGAGATGGCCTCTCCCGTGAAGGGGGGTCAGTACTTGGAAGCATTTGACAAGTACAATGACAACTATAATAGGTATAATCAATGTTTCAATTTCTAAGACCCTCAAATATAGTGATATCATAATATAATGATAGTTCTTCTTTAACCCTTATTATCTTCATAATAAATTAATTAATTTGGCGGCACGCGGCCCCTTTTTATATTCCATTGCATTCGTTGTTTACACGACACCGCCCGTAGGTCTTAACATCCTTACGAGACTTGTCACCGCTCTCCGAGGCCTCATCGGGCCCTCGGGCCGGAGTCCATCATCCCGCCCCTGGACTCATACCCATCATCCCGTAGGAAGGTAAGGTCCATTCGGGGTCCTATATTATGTGTTACCGCTGTCAGGAGCCTCGTAAGGTCTCCGGTTCGGATTCCACCCTAACCCGTGATCACGGTGTAAGTCCATGCTATCCAACCCCGCTCTCTAGAGTCGGGAAGGGCCATGGTCCTTACTATTTACCAATATTCAACCGGTTATCCTTAAAGACTGCCGAAATACACCCGTAGGCCAATCCTACAAAGAATCAATTTATTATTCACTTTATCTTGGGTATCCCTTAAGGCCTACCCATAGTATCACTTAAAGTTCATATTTATCCACCTTAGTATCTCTTAAGACTACTTAAGGCTCAACATTTCACAATCCAATCTTTAGATCAATTCTAACATATTCTCATCCCAACACCCTGACTAGTATTTTAATACTAGTCGGATAAATTCTATCAACCGAATTCTCAATTCATAGTCATAAGCACAATTCCGAAACTAATTTTCCGTTGAAAATATAGTTTATATCAATATACAAAATAATACTTTTAATCACTCATATATTCTTATATGAAGTAAAAAGTATATTTCAACATAAGTTTCATAGTTAATTCCATTCTCAAATCAACATACTCACAACACATAATCATACACAATTTATTCTTAAATTTGTATATTATGCTCCTTTTCTTTGTAGACAATGGTCTCCTCTTTTTTAGGCATTATTAATCATTAATAATTCATGCCAAACACATTTATTTTATTTAGGTAATCTTATGAAATTAACCCAACAATTATAAGCAATATATTCGGTCATCCTCACCTCAAATGAGCTTTAAACCTTTCCTTCTTGATTCAATGGTCAAAGCTTTGGTAAAGGTGGATTAAGAACTGATTCCTTGCTTAGAAATGAGTGCTAAACAGCCTCCTCAAAGTGGTAGCTCAACCTCTAATCGTTGATATGAAAACAACCCCTAGAATGGGTGTTTTCCGGCGACTTGTTTCCTAGTTTTTCCAAGGTTTGTTCTAGGTTAGTATCTAACCTTTACCTCAATAAAACAACTTCATAAGGACATATTATACACTTGAAATAGTGTAAAATAGTTCCACCAATCGTTCATATCATTTGGAAAACGAAAGAAAGATTTTGGGATCAAAACTCACTTTAGAGGAGCAAATCCGTTTTCTGCGAGGTTGTGTTTTCTTCCAAAGATTTGGAAGCCTTCCACTACTCCGATTGATGCAAACTAGACCTTGACGGATTCCTCTTCTTGAGAGATTTCTCTGGGCACCTCACAAGCCTTATTTATTTAAGTATTGCACGAGATATGAAGCAAACAAGTAACCTTACGCACTGGAATTTCACCCTGCGGACAGCTTGCTCTTTCCTTTGTTTTCTTGGTTGTGTGGCTCTTTCCTTCTCTCTTATCTCTGGGAGTTCGAATGGGGGGTTGTGGGAGTGTTATATTGTCCCTCACTTAGCCTCCAAAGTCAATGGGTAAGGGTGGGTTGGCATGTGGGATGATGGAGCAAGATATCTTCCAATCAAAATGGGGAGAGGGTCCATTCTTTGTACTTAGATGCCAAAAGCATCTCTTCCACCCTCTTTCCTTTGTCAACCCAGCCCTTCCCTTGTATAATTCAACACACAAAAACGTGGGGTGGCCCCCACTCATGTGGGAGGTCATTCCTTTGTGTCTCAAAGTAAACATTCGGCCCCGAAAGTTGTATTTTTCGGACTGTTTTAAATATATTTTATTTTATCGGGTCAAATAAAATATATTACGCGTTATCAATCAATATGGCCCTTATAATGAATATATATTCCCTAACTTTAATTTATAAGCCCCCGAAATTCATTTCGGGCTGTTATCTATGAAATTACCAAAACAGCTAATTGAGCCACTTTTGACCAATCGGTCCACATTATGTCTTTTCTTTGGCCCAAATAAATTATCCACCTCTACATAAACATTATCTCGACCAAGATGAATAAAATGTATGGTCTCAGAAATATCAGGCGGTCCCTGCTTCCGGTGTGGGCCCCACGTGCAAATTTATATGGGTCACCTCTAACGATTTTGACAACATAGATAAAAATAACTAATAACGTGCAATAAAAATGATTATCAATATGAGTGTGAGTATGTGATGCTATTTTTTTTGTTGAAGAAATGTGATTCTAAAGATTAGAATATTATTCCATCAAAAAAAATTAGAATATTATTTTCATACGTAGTAATCATAATAATAATTTTTAATATAGTGACTTTAGTCCCGTATTATTTCAATGATTCTAAGAAAAGTGTCTAATAAATATAATGACAATTATATTATTACGGAGTACTCCCTCCGGTTCTTTTTAAACTTCACACTTTCCTTTTTGGGACGATCCAAAATTAACTTCACACTTCCTTATTTCCTTATTTGGCAAAGAAATCTACATCCAAGCAGTGTTAAACAGTATCAAACAGTGTCTCAACAGTGTCTCAACAGTGTACTCTACAGTAAAGTCAAATTTATTTGCTTAATCAATGTGAAGTCAAACTGTCAAGTTTAAAAAGATCCGGAGGGAGTGTTATATTTATTATTATTATTAGTACTCCGTATTATTTTATTAAGAGAGAATTCCCTAAATAGGAGTAAAAACGTTTTGAAATTCCAAAATAGGAGTATCATGTTTTTTATTCCTTGAATAGGAGTAATCTGCCAAATTTGGAAGAAAATGCCATGTTTAAAAGCCTTGTAATGCCAAACTTGGCAGAAATTTACTCTTATTCTAGGAATAAAAAACATGATACTTCTATTTTAGAATTTCAAAACGTTTTTACTCCTATTTAGATCAATTTCTGTTTTATTAATTATTAGAAAAGTAAGAAAACAAGGAAAAGTCGTGGTCAATCTTCTAGCGAATAACACGCTCGTTTGGTCGAAAGTAGGAGGGCGCCGCCTCTCATCTTACAAAAATTAGGTATTTGCTCTTCCAAATCAATATATCTCCCTCTATATATATGTATACCGATACATACATTCAAGCTAAGCATATAGCCACACAAACGTACCAAGACCATATATTCAACAATTATATATAATCTGATCGATCAAAGAACATATCTCTATATACATGGCGTCGAAGACGACAACGTCGTGTGATGTAACTTGGGCGGACCAATGGGACCCGATAGACTCAGACACGTCCAAAACGACGTCGACACAGACAACGTCGTCGTCGTCTAAGTTTTCCGGCAAGATGGGCGAAACGTTCGACAAAACAAAGTCCGTGGCTTCCACCGGAGTGAAGAAAGTCAAGGCCGGCGCTGCTCTCGGTTTTCACTGGGCTAAAGAAAAGTACCAAAAGATCAAACAGAATCACTAGATAGCTCCGCAGCTGATTAATTCAACTTAATTACCTTGTTATGTATATATATAATCTGTGTTGATTTATTAGATATTACGTTTCGGCCGGCGGCGGCCGGACGGCGGTTCATTTCTTCCTACCTTGCCATCGTCTGGACGTGTGCTTTGTATTAGTCATCCCATCTGTCTCTAATTTGACCCGTTTACGTGTTCCTTTCTTACGTATAACTCTTTTTTGTTAAAATAAGGATTATAATAATGTTCGGTATAAAATTGCTTTGTAATTTGGTGTTCTGTTTTTTTTTAAATATACTTACTTTAGTCTCTCGATGTTAGAACTGCTTTTTAATTTGGTGTTTGGTTTAAAAAATGGATTATTACTTCCACAAATAAGCTTCAAGAAGTCAACGATATTAGAACTCGATTAGGAAGGATTGAATCTGGCGCAAGGAATTGGAGTTTTCTTTTGGATGGTAAGGATTTGAAGTTAAACCAAGCGAACGTTATACTCCGTATATTATGGGTAGATAGGATGTATTCTTTTGGACCAAAGTTTGATGGTGTGGACAGGTCTGATCTGGTCCTGTAAATATATGGCCTTTGTGTATTTTATAAATTATGGAAGTCTGGTCTAGTCTGATCTAATATGATTTGGTCTAGTTTGAATTGGTTTGATCCGGTATGATCTTGTTTGAACTGATCTAGTATGAGACTGAAAACCGTCCAAAAGAAAACATCCTAAATGAATATTAAATCAAGCACGTACGTGTTCCATATAAAATGGCTTTGTAATTTGTTGTTGATGTTTTTGCTTAGACTATTAGATCATTCCAAATCAGACCAAACTTGGATAGTTACAAAATATACAGAAATCAAATCAGTTCAAATCAAACTAGACCGGACCAGTTCAGACTAGACAAAATCAGACCAAATCAAACCATAAAATTTTAGTCTCTCTTTGCGTAATTTAGTCTCTTGATCGAACGGTTTTAAAAATGGATTGCTTTCAACGTACTAATAAGCTTTAAGAATTGAAGTCAACAATATTAGAAGTCGATTAGGAAGGATAGATTGAATATGGCGCAAGGAATTGAAGTTATTCTAGCCTTCTAGGATCTATATAATTCAAGATTTAAACTATGTTTATTGCAACTTTACACTTACTACATACATACGGAGTATAATAGCTCTAAGGAAAAACGAAGAATATATTTACTCAAACATGAAGTTGAGAGATGTTCCATACTTCAATCTCATCTGATTGTATAAGGTACTAGTTCTTACCACCTTATTTTCTTTTTAAGATATTTTAAATTTTTCTTTAAATATACTGAAATTAAATTTTTGAATGATAAGAATATAACGATTATGTATATACTTTCATAATCTCTATTACAGAGTATATAAAATTTAACATAATAAGCAAGATTGAAAAAATGTTTGTTAGTCACATTAAAGTTTAACAAGTCATATTTTTTATTCATTACTTTTATTTTTGGAAAAATTGATAGTAATAATCCCAACTATTGGCGGTCCGCTCCTAATAATCCCAACTATTGATTATTACAGAATAATCCCAACTTTAGGGACCTTCCGCCAATAATGGTCCCTATGAATAAATTCTTGTAGTTTCTAAAGTGGATGAGATGAGATATAAGAAGTAATCCCTATAAATAATCTCAACTTTTAATTTTTACATTTAATTTCTATTTAAAATTCACTTTTTATAGAGGTAATATATGGTCATGGACCATTATTGGCGGATAGTCGATATAGTTGGGATTATACAAAAATAATCAATAGTTGGGATTATTTTCAGCGGACCGGCAATAGTTGGGATTATTATTTTCAATTTTTCCTTTATTTTTTCATACATTTGTCATTTTTTTAGAACTTTATTTCAATTCTAATTACTTACGAAATAATATGAGTGGTTGATATCGCTCACTTGATTTCCGTGCTTTCAATTACTTTGACAAAGAAACTAATGTTTGTGACTTTCTGAGTTTATGTCTCAATGCATTAGTTATTTAGTTGTGAGGAAAATAGAAGCTCCTGCCAAGAAATGTATAAACAACGTGTAAATATTTTATGCACGTACGTACCAAACATAATTTTTCTAATTAATTTACTTATCCCTCGCATGTAGGGCTGAGCAAAACCCGATCCGACCCGAAAAACCCGATATTTTTTTCGGATATTATTCGAACCGAAGTGGATATCCGACCCGAAAAAACCTGAAACCGAAAATCCGATTAGTATTGGGCCTAGACCGGGTGGCGGTAGGGTTTGTGAAATCACAACCCGACCCGCCCAAATATCCGAAATATAGGTTAGTGTGTACTTTGAATATTTAAATTAATACTTGTGTTCAATTATTTGTGTAATTATTTGTGCAATTTGTATTAAATTATTTGTGTAAATTGAATGTGCAGTGCACTAATGTGTACAATTTTTGTCAAAGTGGCATTGCAACACTTTAATTATCCAATTATAATGTGTTTTAATATAACCGAAATATCCGAAATATATTAAATTATGTAGTGTGTACTTTGAATATGTTAAATTAATACTTGTGTTCAATTATTTGTGTAATTTGGAAGTTTCATGCACTAGTGTGTACAATTTTTGTCAAAGTGGCATTTAAACACTTTAATTATCCAATTATAATTTTTTTAATATAACCGAAATATCCAAAACCCGACCCGATATCCGATAATATCCGACTTAAAATATATATCCGAAATACCCGATTTAAAATATCAAAGGGTCGGGCCTAGTATTTAAATTAAAAAACCTGAACGGGTTTAGGGTTTGCAAACCTGACCCGCTCGAACCCGACCCGTGCACAGCCCTACTCGCATGTAAGATGCATGCAAGGCAAAATATACTCCCCACATAAATATACCAGTACAATTTTGGCTCCGCATCATGGTTTAACTAGAATACGTGACGAGCACTTTGTCACAGTGCGTCAAAATAATATTCAATACTAGCACATATACGTAGTATAGGTGAAGTAGAGTTCAAATCCACAGGGAAAGGAATAATTCTCTTTTTAGTAAAACTAATAAATAAGGAGGGTTTTGGGATTGTTGGAACTTAATTTAATTATATACGAAGATGAACGACTTATATT